AAACCCGCCCCGGACCTGCCCCATTGCCATTCCTAATAACAATAGAGAAAGAGAGGAGGAGCAAAAGAGAGAGAGGCAAATGACATACAGGGAATGGGGAGAAGAGTAGGGATCATGTACTGGGAAAGGGAATGGGGATAATAAATTAAAAAGGGGTGTTGATTTTTTAATTATATCATGTGTCAAGTACTAAATACTTTTATTATTTGATTTTAGTAGAGCATTTCATTAGTTGATTTGATGTGATAGTTAGGATATTTTTTAAGTTTGAGATTTTCATTGCACCTTTTTTATACATTAACTATTTAAGTGTAGAATTTTCATTTCAACTATTTAGTTTAGCTTGTGCTTACTCGTATTCCCATAGAATTCACTTTTACGATGAGTAGCTAACTTGTGAAGAGCATGGTTAACATAATCACTTTACAAGTGTCAAAGAAAATCCATGCTTTTGTGTTAATCAAGCTTAAGATAGAGAGAGATGGTAGACAAAAGAGATCAATGCTGGCACTAAAGACAAACCAATTAAGAGAGCAGAGGAGACTTTTCAATTTTTATTTATTATGTTGTGTTTATCGAGAATTATGAAATTGTATCAAAGGTTGTATTAGAAAAGTCCATGATAGAATATTTTGTGCGGAAACTGTAATTTAACCGGAGTTCAACCATTTCAATTCGCTAGAATAGTTTATCTACGTAGGTTTTGATAATATGTTTATGGCCGGAGCATCGATATGATATTAGAGGTGTCACTTTTGTGCCCAATTCATTTGATCACAAATCCAATTAATTATATGTTTGATAGATTGTTGATAAATTATAATTTAGTATCCATATTTTTTATATTTGACAATTGTGTACCTAAAATATTTATTTCTAAAGAAAAAATATCATCGAAAAATTACTTAATAATCTTGTTTTGGTCTCAAACTCTCAATTGTATTTAATAGATCCGTAGAAAAAGGGAATGAGAGAGAGAGAGGAAAATCCATGTTATAAAGACAGAACTTTGGCCACATATAAAGACACACCTAGCAGAACTAGATTCATAGGATCCTTTTAACTCTGGGCACCACACCCCAGGCTTCTGCACAAACTTCCCGCCAGGCACGAGGCAACCCACCACCACCATTCCCCCCCAACCTACATTTTTATATAATTGTGTCAATAAACGCCCAACCAAAAAGAAATAAGTGGCCTAATTTGTGCATCATAATACGCTAATATTGGAAGTTTAATTGTCCATGCATTTAGTCGTAATAAATTGGTGGGATTCATGAAGTCTGAGAGTTCAAATTCATGATCTTCAGTGACTTCTGACTTCAAAATTTTATCAAAACATATTATTTATTTATTTAACGGAAAAAGATATCTTTATTTTTCAAATTTACAGACAAAACACTTTTAAGTCTCGACCCGTGCTCTAAATTGGAAACAATTTTGTGCAATGACACTGGGAATAATAAGTAACAAGGATAACAATAATAAAAAAATTAAAAATACTTCACACACCATAAAATCTGGTTTGACATTTTTGGGGAATAAATGCAGATTACATATCCCTCCTCCGTTTTTACTTTTTTACTCTGGACCCAAGAAAGAAGAATATTTAGTGGTGTGCCTCTGCCTCTCTTTTTTTTTTTGACAAATGCCTCTGCCTCTCTCACTGCACATCTCCCAATCAGTTCCTCGCATCTACTTAAACCCAACCAACCAAATGTACTCAGCACCAGCAGCAAGTGGAGACAAAAACATGACATAAATAATGATAAACAAAGTGAAATTAGGAGAAAATAGAGAGTTATAAAATGGCAAGTAAAGTAATGGCTTACTGGCTTTGGCATTTTGATTGAAACAATGAAAAAAAGAGGAAAGGACACTCAATTCATGCTTTAGAAGTACAACCAAGCAAGCACAAAATCAATAAACATCGAAAGTTCTTTTGCAACAAAATCAATCAAATTAGCGGCACTAAGCGCAATCAGCTCATCCGATCCGACTGAGTCCATGACTCTTGAACGTAATGAGCTCCATTAGTGAGATTGAGGTGCTGCAGAATAGGCATGTTATTGTAATAATCATCAAAAGGGTTCAACTAGGAGGATGTAGTAGTCCTCCTTTACATTTCTTTGAAATTGACCCGGAAAGCAATCGCATTAGGGGTGGCTATATGGTCCGGTCCAATTAAATTGGTCCGAATTGATCCGGTCTCGGTCTGGCCTTTTCGGGAATATAAGGACAAAAATTTGGATTGGATACCGTCCGGTCTTGACCCGGTCCGGTCCCAATTCGGTCTTGATTTTAGATTGAAATTGTAGGGATTTGAGTTGCCTGAGGACTCAAAGGGTGAGGAGTTGGTTAAGTTTTGGTGTTGGGCTCTCTTATCCGGTCTTTATTCGATTTTCGATCCGGTCCCAAACAATTTTTTACCTCAAATCTAAGCCCGAAAATTGGATTGGATTGTTTGCTATCCGGTTCCAGTCCAGTTCCGGTCCAGTTTCGGGTAAAACCAAATAGTCCGAACCAAATAGCCAGCCCTAAATCACATATCTGCAAATTCGATCACTCATGTGATGATGATATATTAACGGAGTAATAGAATTATTATTCATTGCAATGTAGCATTAATAGTACATCTTCCTCCGTAGCTTCTAGACTCCTCCTCCTAGTACAAAATTGTAATAAAGTCAAAGGGGTGATGATGCTGAGTTAATTGAAGGGAAGTTTGCCGGTGGGTAGGAGGAATATTAAATGGGCCTAGGGAGTTTACTTTGGACAGCTACTTGACTACTTCGGTTCGGGGGCTTCTCCTACTCCTACTACAAGGCCTAGGCCCTGGCCCGAGAATATTGCTACTGCATTATCACCTATTTATTAGTTGAGGCCCGAGGGCTACTGCCTACTGAATTGGGTGGAACAAAAACAAGTAATAATAAATTGTGGAAATGGGTATTTGTCATCATTAATTAATTATCATTTTCCTGCCTCTGTTGCTGACACTCATCTACTGAGTGATAGATAAGCCCAATTTTTTAACAACACAGACAGGCCCAATTTAACCTTTTATTTTAAGAAAGGCCCAAATAATTGTTGGTATATGGTATAATTTATCAATTATCCTTCCTCCCGGCACACGGGGACAAGTGTTGGGCCGGGCCGGGTGGATTAAACGGTTCTCATCTCAGTCGTTGCGGGTGGCTGGATGGCAAAACGATTCTGACTGGCCATTTGCCATGAGAAGCAACAAATGCAGCTAGCTAGTAAGTAAGGGAGGCCTTTGGAGGAGGATTCTGCACAAAGATTCTGCAAATCATATGAGATGATGGGTTTCAATGACATGTAGGAGATGATGATTGTTATTTCGTAGTCAAAAATGGAGGAGAAGATGGTGGAATTGACGGAGATATAATGGCAGAATAGTAAGGTTGATTTGAATAAGATTGAGAAGATATTGAGAGATTTAGGTCGGAATAGAACTTTATAAGGAAAAGACAATTGTGACAATTGTGACATTGTTTGACCAGATGTATCATGATATCTATTAATAACTGTAGTTTCATATTCTTCACTGAAACCTCTCTGTCGATCATCGATAGTCTATCTATTCTTCTCAACAATGTCATTACTCATTATCACTATTTTTGAATTCACTACCTCTACCATCAATAGCCTCTTTCTCCTTCATCTTCATTTGAATCGAAAATGTTTGCAAATATGAAACCTTATCAATTAAAGATTCTTAATTGGCGTAGCTACTAACCCAATAGCTTAAAATCCCACACGTTTGGTTTTCAAACTAAATGTTTCGCTTCTTCTTCCCCTTCGCCTGAGAATGAATACTCAATTTCCTTCGAGCTATAAATGTGTTATTTGGACATATTTATTATTAGTGAATAAAAATGCTGGTACCCACAAAAAAGAGAGAATTTTTGCTCCCTAGAATATGGGACAGGTAGAAAATTTATGTTTTTTTAGGATTCATCAATAAACTCTCGTGTATGAGATATTATTGATTTAGAAGTCTATAAAATGTGCTAAATTGCACGTTTGGTCACTGGAATTACTAAACAATTTCACGTTTGTTTGTAAAATTAATTTATTTCAATTCTAGTCACTAAGATTAGTTTAACAATTCAAGTTTGGTCACTCTAAGTTAACTTTTGTTGATTTGGCTATCAACCTTTATAGTTGACCGTTAAATGAGTGATGTGACAAATAAAAAATAATAAAATATTTTTTGTAATAATTCCACCTTACTATTACAATAAATACAAAAATAAATAAAACAAAAAAGGTCAATCCTGCAATCTGCGGCCAGAAGAACTCCGATCAAGGGTCCGTCCCGTCGGCGCTCTGATGATCCGGGGAAGCTGACTCATCCTATACCAGTAATTTCCCGGGAACCTGGGAACCGAAATGTGCACCTCACGACCTGGATAGTCGGAATCGACTGTCCTCTATTTGAGAAAGATTCATCCACACCGACATGTACCCCAAGCTGTCATACGCGCTACACGTCGTGAGTGAAATTCCGGATCCCCAAACTCTCGGACGCTGTCGTAGCCCACCTGAAGAACACATTCGAGACCAGGCACCGCGGGCGTGGGGTGACGCCGCAGAGGAGATCGCTAACAGGGGATTCAAGTTCGAGGGAAGCGCGATAGAGCTTCAGGCGGGACTCTTCTCCGACCGTCGCTCTGTGGCCTCCAATCGCTTGCTCATCCCTTCCAGCTGCTTCTCCATCGATCTCTGCTCATGTTTTAACCTCCCAATCTCCATCGCCATCTCCTCATTCCCTTCCATCATAAAATCCTCAATCTACCTCGACCCTTTGCATTGCTTCTGCCTCACTATCTACCTCAGCAAATGCTTTTGTCCCCTTAGAAACCTCTCGCTCGCGAACTCCCACCTGTCCGGATCCACTTTCCTGAGCCTTTGAAAAATAAAATAAAAACAGAGTAATTCAATAAACAAAGGAATTCCAATTCGATTGTATTCATTTAGATGGTTTGTGATTCACGTACGTAGGTGTTGAGCTGGCAGACGAAGCTGGAGTTGTTGTGCTTGAAGTAAGCGGGGAGGATTCGTTGGGAGAAATCGAGAGGGTCGACGACGAGGAAGCTGTTGTTGGCTTCCCCCCAGGAGATGAGGTTGTCCATCGGTGGGTCATTGACCATCTGATATGTCTTCATAACGAACAACGCGATGGTGCTGGTTTCACCGACCCCGTCGTTGTTCCCTTCCATCCCATAAACGGTCAAGAACAACTCCTCCTCCTTCCTTCTGAGGAGTGACGTGGCTAATTGTGCAGTGACGTGGTGGGTTGACCATTAGTCAACGGCTTGGCTGTCCAACATAACGGTCAATTCTTTGGTTTGGCCAATTTAGCAACTTTGATCCATAGTTGAGGCCACGATGTTATAAATCAAAAAGATCGGTCAGGATGTTTAATATGTGAAAAAGATAGGGTCATACAAATATATTAACCTTAATAGTAACATCCTAAATAGTTTAAACAATGACTATATTTTACAAATATTTTCGAATACAAGACTACATCATGGGTGATAAATTTGACAATGTAACTTAGCTTATCATACAGGTTCGTAAAAAAAAAAGAGAATCCACTTTAAGTGAAATCCTGATTAAGTCCAATCAAATTTGTAAGTTACTTGTGTCCTATATCATGCAATCTATTGTAATTAAACATTTTTGGCTTGGTGAAGAAAAAATAAGAAGAGTTTTAAATCTAGGATGGTGAATACTTCGAAAAATTATCTTGTTGGTTTTGATGTTACGAGTCTCTTCGATACTCAAGTTAATATGAGAGAAATAGGTTAAATTTCAAATCATGTATAGTGCCAACATTATAAGTGTTTGAGCGAGATTGAAGAGAACTAGTAAGAAGGTGGTTTTAAGTCCTACCGACTATTTTCGTCTTAAATTTTAACAAACTTTACATATAATTTACCTATATTTCAAAGTTAGGGGCTACACCTCCTCTCAGCTTCAACCTCCTCCAGTGAGTCACCCTCCGTTTCATTCCCTCTCCGTGGAGTTGTGCGTAGCACTTCTGGGTGGCGCTGGAATCAATCGTGGTAACATTCGCTTTGTTATATGGGATCTTACTGATGCGTACAAGAATTTCGGTTGCCCTTTTCCTATTTTGGCTATTGTTTCCATTATTAACTGTCGGGATAATCTTTGATTATTATTTCGTTTAAGATTATCCCGGTGAGAGAAATGGCGTCGTCCTTGCCCCCAGGTCCGATCGGGGATGCCGTGGGGCAGTCTAGCCTTTGATGACGAAGACGGCGGTCCCGCTAGGTCGATCCTGAAGATAGACGAAGGACCGCAACGTGAGACCTGGGATGATGGCGGCATGGGATCGAAGGAGGAATGTACGGGACCGAAGGATGCAAGTTTCCAGGTTGACGTCGGGAAGGGCAACGAGACAGGCCGACCCCAGAGCCGACTGGACCTCGCGATGACCGAACCAGGCGAGCCCTGGAGGTGGCCAAGGACGACGCTGGGGTCCGGAAGACGGGAGGGTCAATCCGGGACCAAACCGAACGGTCCGACCATGCGGGAACTCGAGAACCGAAACTTCGAGAAGGCTCGGGCAAGTGACAAGGCGACTGCTGCTCTGTTCCGGGGTCGAATGGTGACACTGAAATTCCCTAAGTTCACCGGGCAGGAGGATCCGTCAGGTTGGATGGCGCGGGTTGAAAAGTACCTTCGCTACCAGGATATTCCGGAAGAACACTAGGTGACTCTCGCGTCATTCCACATGGAGGATGACGCGAATCAATGGCTTGTGTGGATCGAGGAAGAGTTTGCACAAAGCGGGATGGAGATGACGTGGGAGGACTTTCGTGCCGAGTTTTGGAAAAGGTACGGGTCAACTGAGAAGGCTGTCGGGCATGAGGCTCTTGCAAAAATTCGACAGACCGGGAGCGTGGAGGACTACCAACAGGCTTTCGAGAGATTTTTGAACCGTTGTCGGGGGTGGAGCAAGGAAGCAGTAATGGGAACTTACATGGGAGGACTCAAGCCGGAGATTTCAGCATACATCCGTGCATTTGAGCCACGCAACACCAGGGAGGCGTATCGTTTGGAAACAATTCGCGAGGAGGAGATCAGGATCGAGCGCAGAGCTGTGAGAGGCGCAACACGGGGAACCGCGGTGGCTCTTCACGAGGCTGCTCCCTCGCCAGCTCTGGTGCAGGAACTCGCTCCCGCATCCCGAATCGGGGACCACCGTCGGCTCGGAGGAGGGTCATTTGCCACTTGACACCCGAGGAAGCAGCTCGCCGAAGTCGCGATGGGTTGTGCTACAACTGTGACGAGTGCTTCACCTACGGCCACAGTTGTGCTAACAACCAGGTGTTCGCTTTGATCGGAGGTTTCGGCGAAGGCAGAGGTGGTTGGGTTTGCGGCCAAGAATAACCTCGGGACGAGGTTGCTCGAAGGGTGGAGGAATGATGCGTACAAGAATTTCGGTTGCCCTTTACCTATTTTGGCTATTGTTTCCATTATTAATTGTCGGGATAATCTTTGATTATTGTTTCGGTTAAGGATATTTTATATCGGTTTAGAGTTTGTTATTGTAGGCTTGGCCTATTAATAGTGCTAGGGTTGACGTTCGAGAGGGCAGAATAAGAATAAACTCAATTTCCTTCCGTCTTTTCCTTTCCTTAACACTAAACCGGAACGCGTGAACCTTGCACGCGTCATTTACTCTCTCAGATCTCTTTGTATTGTAATTATGCGCTGTTGCCAAAGGAGTCACATCCCAGTGTTTAGGGTATGCTCCAACCCAAAAATTATCATTTCAGCTTCTTAGCAGCTCCAACTTTCCTGTACAGACGCCCTTCTCTAAGCTGTAAAGAGTACTAGAAACTTGTTAACTTAAGAACTATGGCCATATATAACAACATAACAAAATGAGAAGAGAGAGAGAGAGAGAGAGAGATAAAGCAATCAACTGGCCTTTTCCTAACTCTACATAATCAAAAGATCACAAATTAATTCATCAACCATGATGAGGTCATCAAAGCCAAACACACTCAAGTTGAAGGGCCAATGACTCGAGCTAGGGCTAAGGATTTTCGGGATCAAATTGCAAGCTATTTGGCTAAGGAGTTGCAGGGCTTAAGCTTGGATTTGCTAGAAGGAAAGTCCATCACACTATTGAGCTATGTGGATCACGAAATTGGGCTCAAAGGGAGGGAAGGAGGGTCGGCCATGGAGAAGGAGTCTCAAGGTGTGAATGGAATCAACAATGGATAAAGATCATGGTGTGAAAGGAATTTCAAGTGTGAACACAAGGGGGGGGGGGGGGGGGGCGGATTTGAAGGCTAGGTTCAAGGGTAGTTGTTGACTTAGTCTTTTCCTTGTTTGTTAAGGTTTTTGTTTTCCTTGTTTGTTAAGGTTTTTGTTTTCCTTTTTCAAGTAGGATTTGGTTTTCCTTAGTTGTTTTGTGTTTAGATTCGTGGGTCTATAAATAGGAGTCCAACCAATGTATTTTTCATTCAAGTTTCAGCAATCAAATACAAGTGTTTACAAGTTCAAGTGAACGTTTTGCTTATTCGCTCATTTGAGGATTCATGAGGTTTGAGTGGTCTCTTATCAACTAGAGAACGAGTCTAGTTGTGGCGAGCATCGACGATATCGGTTGGCCTCTTCCACGGGTTCGAGATGGTTTGGAAGGTTTCATATACCTTCTGGCCCTTCTCCCGAGTTCGGATTTGTTTGATCGATTCCGCAAGTATCTTTATTTCGTGTTATTCTAAAAAGGAGAAAACCCCTAAAAAGTTCGACGTGTGCAACTCTGGTTTTTGGTCCGTTTTGGGAGGATTCTCGAATTAGTATCATATTAAACCAAAGTCGACCCACTTCCTATCCCCACAGCTCATGTCCCTGTCCACAAGATCATCCACCATCATGTCTCCCATGCTCTTCCACCCTAATACCTCCTTATGCAACTCCTTCGCCAAACATCCTTTTCTCTCAAGCAACACCCCTTGATGTTCATCCCAAGACCTTTTCCTGCACTTGTAGTCCAAGAACTCGCCAATGCAATCGAACATGACCTTTCGATTGATTTTCAAGGAGAGCTCGTCACTGTCTCTACCAAATTTACTCTCCTCGTGTTCAAAGAGGTTCGGGGATAGGATTTTGGAGGGGCTACAGCTCAATGCAAGGTCTTCGAGATTCATCTCTGCAATGTATAGTATGTGGATGACATAGTCGAGTTCCCAGTTGCTTGGATATTTGTTGAGCTTGGTTGTTGCTCCTGGGAGTATTGGTGAAGTGGTGTTTGGAAGGTGGTTGGCTAACATCATGGAGATTGATGAGGTGGCAGAATCTGATAGCTCGGTTTTGAGTCCTTCGTCAGTCAGAGTTCTGTTAGTTGAGGCTGAGTTGAATGTGGTTGGAGCTTGAACTGAGGATGAACATTGTTGATCACTACCTGAAATATTTACAACAGTTTCATCACACGTTCTGAAGGGAGACTGAGGTTACCATATAACTCAGCTAGAGAAAGGGCCATTTCTTTACCAACCCGTAAACCCGAACCAAACGTGACTTTACAAGCGACACACCATATTGTTATAGTGCATAATTACGCTCTAGATAGAAAAGAATAGAAGGCACGTTCAAGGAAGTGTAATGTTAGCTTTACCCTGAGAATCTGAACAAGTTTGGTCTAGAATCCACTCTGTATAATTAGGAGGCTCAGATTCAAGTACTTTCCCGTTTTCAATGTAACTGCTGCTACAGCTGTGCTCTTCCGCTGCTTCTGATTGATGATACTATATCATAAAGTTTACGTAAGACAAATGAACAGTGAACAAAATATATTCCACGTGAACGATATGTTAACGTTCCAACATTTGACAAATGGAATCAGATGCTTTATGGCTCTTCTCAGGTGATGTTAAGACACAACCAGAAAATTCATATCTAGACTGCTTAGATATGACAATGAGGCAACAACATATATAAAGTATTTAGGAGTCACAGTAGCTTCATAGGTTTCATGCAAATTGACAGACAGTGGGGAGAAATGAGGAAATGCAGAAAAACATACCAGGAAACAAACCTTGCGCTCATGATGCGAATGCAAGAGTAAGTTCTCTTCAGAGTACCACTCGCCTTCTGCCTTATGCAACTCCACTTTATCTAAGCTAAGTTCAGAAACCTTTTGTTCAGCTGCTGAGGACGTAGCAGCACTCATTACGTTAACCAATGGTGCTGGCTTAAGTAACCCCGTTGATGACTCCACTTTATCCGTTAGTTCTCTCAGCTTTCGTTCCAGAAGAACACCCAACTCATCACCACCAATCATATTCAAGCCAATGCTGTTCCTTGTCAAACCATCAGAGGAAGAAGATGACTTAGAAATGTTGTTCCTCACCATTGGAGAAGTGAATGTGAATGAAACCACATCCATACTATTCTTCCCATTTACCATGCTCTTCATGCTTTCATTAACTGCAACTTTACATTCAATGGCTCTCGAGTCCTTATTAGATAGCCGACTAGCAGATGCCCTTCTGTTTGACGGATCCACGTTTATATCCTGTTTCTTGTGAGGTGAAGCCTTCCTCTTCTCCTTCTCAGAGTTCATAGATACCGTAGTAACAGTCCTACTTGAACCTGAAGAACCATTCGAGAGCTGAGTTATAGCTATATCCCCTTGCTTTGAGGTTGAAGTTGTCATTCTAGATAGACTATTATTCTGCTTCTGGTTGTTCTGTCTAAGCACATTGCTCCTATTTTCAATGGGCTTCTTATGAACACTCGTTTGAATGTTTGGCTGGGATTTAATCTCATTTTTCTCCTTTGGCTTGATTCTATTGTTATTACTTCTGGTTGTTGAACCACCTGGTCTTTGTTGGACTGATTTCCCTTTATCCATTTCAGGAGAAGCCTTTGGAGGTCTTCTGAATGAAGATGAGCCCGCTGATGACGATCCACTGTTACTATTGTCTCTATGCTGAGCCTTCAAACTTTTCCCAGGTTCACTTGAACTTCCAGGTCTAGACACCCTATGTGCAGCTTCCATTTTCTGCTTCAAATCCCTGATTCTCATGGGAACTGAAGGCGAAACGATAGATGGCACTCTAATGGTATTATTCACCGCCCTAGGACTTGCCTCCATTATCTTGGCAGCTGCCTCAGCAATGTAAGCTACGTTCTTTGACGAGACGAATCTAGGACACCTAATTGGAGATAAGAGCTTGTAATGGGTGACTGGAATGGATTTAGCTGATTTTGGTGGCAAAGTTTCGGTCTGAAATCTCTCCATTGGCTGTCTTGATTGCCTCCAATGATGCATTTCCATCCTACCAGCGACATTGAGCAAGTCCATAGGATTGTACTGTGAATATCTAACTAGGCGGGGTTGGAGTTGTTGATTAGAAGAAGGTTCGGTTAGAGCTAGTGTTGTAGGCATTGAATCTAAACCCATGAGTCTTGCAACTACACTGGCAGGAGTGGGGGAGTTCAAAGCTTTAACCCATTATCATTTACCAAGGAAGTCCGAAATCTTACCCCAAATTTGCCAAGTAACGTGGGTACTCCCAGAGCTCAGCTCTTCTCTTTGTGGTACAAAGAGCGGATCATCCGAGTCCCGACCCAAAATGTTAAAACCACACAAAGACGCGAACTTTTAAACCCGCTGAGAGGAAGTTTCACCGGCGAGAAATAGAATCCTCCCTACTCTCTCATACACACACTGTCAAAGTTCCAGAACAGGGGGCGAAACGGCTACCAAGACATGAAGTTGTGTTAAAACTTAAAAGAAGAGCAGAGAGGCCCCCGTGAGAGGACACGAAAAGGGCCAAAAATGGGGTGACACGACCAGAAACTGAAATGAGAAAGGGAGAACTGATGGGTGAGGGGAAAAACTGCTACAGGGAATGGGTCCAAAAAAAATTAGGTAAAGGAATCAGTGAGGTTAAATGTGTCAGCCGAACAGAGAGAGGAGAGAGACGTATCTGTTTGCGAGTTAATGAAATCTGTGGGAGGAGGAGAGAGACACCGTCAAGCTATCAATGCCAGAGGTAGAGAGAGAGAGCTAGCGAGGAGTCAAAAGACTGAAGGTAAGGGAAGAGAGAGAGAGACAGAGAAGGAATGAGGCTTTCTCTCGGTGTTGCATCTCTCGTAGTTCTTTGTGAAATGAAATCTCAAATCTGCAAAGGGGGAAAATGAAAATAGATAATAGCGGCCAGCGGGTAAGAAAAAATAAGAAAAGTGAACTTACATCTGTGGGCCCAACAATGCTACGTTTCGAGGAATTTAGATATGGGAATTTAGGAGAGAAGATCCGGTGACTAAGGGGGTGCTTAGTCACTTGACTAAGCCCCTTCCAGCCCTTAGATCTAGACACATCAATCTGATGGTTAAAAAATGAGAATGACTATTTAATTAATGGCAGGGGTAGTTTGGGTATTATGGAAAATTACCAAGTATACAAACCGAACTTACAATCAGTACAAACCATACAAACATACGAACAGTACAAACTAGAGTGGCAAAACATACAAACAGATTTACAAACATTACAAACATATGAACTGTACAAAAAATACAAACCATACAAAAAGAAAAAAACAACCAGGTTGACTTTGGAGGCTCCATCCCTATATAGATGGGCTCCTTCCCAAAGTCAACCCGGGTGTTTTTTAGACATACAAACATGGTGGACAAAAATGACAAACTAGACCAAAAATTCATACAAACTGGAAAAACACCCAGGTTGACTTTGGAGGCTTCATCCCTATATAGAGGGCTCCCTCTCAAAGTCAACCCGGTTGTTTTTTAGACATACAAACATTACGAACATGGTGGACAAAAATGACAAACTAGACTGACAATCCATACGAACTGGAAAAAACATCCGGGTTGACTTTGGAGGCTCCATCCCCAATAGAGGAGTTCCATCCAAAAGTCAAACAGGTTGTTTTTTAGACATAAAAAACATTACAAACATGATTGACAAAAATTATAAACATGGTGCACAAAAATAACAAAGTTTACAAACATTACAAAAAAAAAACCCGAAAAACATTACAAAATAACAAAGCGTACAAACATTACAAAATAAACCGACAAACAATACAAAGCATAATAACCGTACAAAATGTCACTAAAAATGACAAACAATACAAACCGAATCTATACAAACATTACAAAATAGGTCATCAAACATCACAAATCCAACACGGTCGTCGGGAAATTTCCTCCGATCGCCGGAAAACTCTCTCTCTCGTACAAGAGCTTTGGAGGGAAAATGGAATTAATGGCCACCCCTCCCCCCAGGAACATGCCCACGTCGGACGCCGCCGAAAATTTTTCCCCACATCGTCGGCGTCGGAGAAAAGGACCGCCGGCGGGACTGGGAAAAAAGGCCATGCCGCCGGACCGGAGAAGGGAGCTGGTGCCCACGACGGTAGTCAGGCTGTATTTTTTTATTTTAATTGGTAAATAAAATAAAATAAAATAATCTTGCAAGTACTATATTGTCCTTCATTAAATTGGATTAATTTGAGCCATTGGATTTTAATGAGGTGTAAGGGCTGAGATTCACTTAGTCATGTGACTAAGGGACACCCCCCTAGTCACCTGATCTTGGCCCGGAATGTATATATGGTGCATCACTTGGATTTTGGATTTTGGAGAACGGTTCTCCATATTACATTCAATGGTCCATAAAAATGGGGCATTAAATTAAGAGTCAAGATTTGTTGATAAAAAGTAGTAGTAGAGAGTGAGGTCATCAACGGAAAAGGAGCTGACAAAAAGCTGCTTTTTCGGGGCCCACTGACAAGAGAGAGAGTAGAGAATGCAAGTTCTTGAAAATGCTGAATATGATTTCTGTTTTGTACAAATATGTTTTATGATCAGTAGCAATATGTTTTGTATTTAGTAAGAATATGGTTTTTAATGCGTGGTATATTATTTTGAATAAGAGTTGTGAAAATTACGAATATAGAAATCACATATATGGAATATGTTTTCTATTCAATGCAAATATCATATTTTGTATAATATGAATATGATATTCTAATGTGTATATTTGTTCAGTGCAAATATAACTTTTGCTCAGTACAAATATGTATTTTGTTCGATACAAATATAATTTTAGTTCAACAAGAATATACATATACCACTTGTAAAGAGTATGTATAAGTTTTATTTTGTTAAAAATAAATGGCCCGCATGTCAGCTACTTTTTCAGGTCGTATATCTATTGCTCTAATAGCTTTTAGCCTTTAATTTAAAAGAACACTTTTGTGGGCCGTTGGATGGAATGGAGAACCGTTCTCCAATATTCAAGTGGTGCACCATATCCTGGTTGCGTTTCGAGCGCGATTGGGTTTTGGGTCTAGGGAACTGAAACTCTTGCTCACAGGACTTGGGTTTGTTCACGAAATTATCAAGAGGATCATTTCGGGGACATCAAGGTTGTCAAACCATTTTAAGTCATTGAGCCGGTCAAGCAAGGGGTTTGAGGTTGAATGATCTGATCGGGGTCCGATCGGTTTGAGTGGTTTTAGACATTTTCTAAATATATATACAAATAAGGTAGTAATTAAAGATTAATGACTGAAATAAAATTTATCTTACGTATATCTATTAAAAACTTATTTTGCACAAAACAAATCTACCTAACTTCCATAACCCACCCACCATCTCTCTTCCTTCGTTCCTCTTCGTCTCTTCCCCCTCTCTTCTTCTCCCTCTTTAGGGGTCTCACGCTAAAACGATAAATTATTCGGAGGAAAAATTCAAATTCTGGAAGGTTTTATCAAGTTACAACTTACCACAACTTGGAAAGCTCAACTAGAGTAAAATATTAGGGTGGGCTAGCAGCTTTTACTGCCAGAATTGAAAAAAGAAATCCCCCAACATCCCCATTCCCTGTAGCCCAAGAGACCTTTTACTGTGCTTAGTGACTTAGAATTACTGTTTCGACTGGGAAGGAAATCGGCTGTGGGGATGTACATGGAGGGGGCTTTTTGATTCCTAGCGAAATCTTTGTAGTTCGGTTGGTTTGGAACTCTGGTTTGCCTTCTGGTTGCCTGTCCCCTCAGTCTACCTCACACGCGTTGATCACTCGGCAGTGTTTTGTCCTTCCAGGCTCTTAATCAGAAACTTTATTTGCCCTTCTAGCTCCTTTGCGTTAGATTAGGCAGGGGCTTGGGTGGATGGTGGTGATGTGGATTGATTTTGGCTTATTTGGCATCTTTTGAGAAAAGCTTGCCCACGTGTTTCCTTTTTTTGTTTTGATCGAGGGTTTGGGTATTCGTGAGAGGGGAACTCATGTTGCTGGTGGGAGTTCCTTTGGGGCCTTTTTAATCGTTTCAAAGCTTCCACCGATGCACGATTGTCAATCATCTGTCACTTTCCCACTTGCCCGGCCAAAAGCGGCGGCTGCCTCGACTGAGACGCTTTTTGCTCAGCTTCTGATAGTTAGTGGTAAGTAACCCTTTTATTAGCTCAATTTGTTGCCTCTTTGTATTTCCTCTCTTACTTCCTTCTCGAAATCTGTGGTTTCTTTCTCTGTTCTTACCCTTTCCTGTGTTCTTGGTTGTCGTTCTTCATTTCTCAGTTCAGCTTCTGTTGTTTCAACAATGGATGCAACGCTGCTGTGTAATCTAAAGGGAGGCAGCAGGGATGTCGCTCTGCATCTGCGCCTTCTCCACATGTGGTTGGCCAAACCTCCAAACAACCCCGTGGCTTATTATCACTGTTGTCTTTGGGTTGACCAAACGGTATGTCTGTTGTGTTTTCATTATTTGTTTGTATGGGAGTGTTTGGTTGTTGTGAGGCCTATGTGTGATGATTGTTTTATTTTTGCTGGTTGATTGTGCTACTATTTTCACTTCTTTGGCTGTTATTTCCTACTTTGCTGCTTTACCTTATTTGTCTGTTTGTGCTTGGTAAAAAATGCAGGGCATGCTCATTCAGGCGATTGCTGATGCGGGAATGGCAGATGATGTTCACGCGGCGCTTACTGTTGGCACTATTTATATCGTCAAGGGATTTGGCTTGAACATAGCTAAAAACCTCTATCGAGCATGTTCCTTTGATCTGAAAATGAATATTACTAGGACAACGACTTTTCAAGAGTGCACTATGACATAAGCAGATTTTCCTACCGACTCTTTTGAGATCTTGCCCTTCAGTGAGCTGCCGAGTCGCAGTGGGTTTCATCGCATTCTCACAGGTTTTCCCGAACTTATTTATTGCCTTTGCAATAATGGTGATCTCTATGTTGTATTTCAAGTTTTCCTTCTCGTGCTTCTTTGCAGATATCGTTGGTCGCCTACACTCTATCAGTGGAATTGATTATCAGCTCACCAACACTGGATCTACACCTAAGCAGGTCTTAGTGCTTGAGAATGCGCAGTATGTACCATGTGGTTCCTCTGCATTAGGTTTCTTTGTTTTATGTGAAATATGTGTGTTGGTTGATTGCTTCTGTTGTTCTTTTCTAAGGGGT